ATAAAAGAAAAGAAAAACGACAATGAAAATAACTTTTCCATCATTTGAGAGAATAGATAAGTATTTACTCTTAATAAATTTTCATATCAAAATTTTATATATGAAGATAAATGATAAATAGCTTTTCAAGTGATGGTATAATTAAGAGATCGAAATTAATAACAATATTTAATATGTTCTTAGTTAGGAGATAATAGAGAAGTATAAGAAAACGTTGTGAGTTTCATACTAAAAGCATAGAAAATTTTTATTTTTATTATACTAAAATAAAAAAAGGAAAGGTAAAATTAAATAAATAATGGAATATAGATAATGAACAAAAGGAACTATTAGAGTTCAATTATGAGATCATTATAGTCCGTACTACTATATCAATCTCAAATTTATTTCTTGTGATTATCACTATTTATATATATATATATATATATATATATATATATATATATAATATGTTTGTTTTCTTTTTCCTTTGAAGATATTTTTGAAAATATTTAAGAGTAGAAAGAACTCTAAAATTATTGTGAGAGTTTATTGAAGGAGTTGTACATAAAAGGATGAAAGAGTGATTGAGCATAATTATATTTAACCATTTTACTGTGGATACTAATTAAGTATATACTTTCATTTAAAATAGCTCGAAGAAAATTCTGGCTATGCATGCAATTAGTACTAATATATAAGAATAAGAATTTGAAAGTGTTTGACTAAAATTGAATGGTAAGTTTGATTGCTGAATTATTTAAATTAATTTCTATTTTTTTTGTAAAACTTTGTGTGAATATACTTAGGAATTGCAAAAAAAAAAATTAAAAGCAAGATATTATAAACTTAATTTTATTTAAAATCATAATAATATTTTTTTTCGATGTTAATTGAAATTAATTTTATAATTAAATAAAAGTTGAATAACACAGTAGGAGAATTTGGGAGTGACGTAATCATTGGGCCTCTTGCAGGTCCTCAATGATTATGAGGCCTTAAATAACAATGATTTCTCTTTCCAGATTTAACATCAATCAATGTGGTCCTTTTGTCATACCCCACCACATATAATTCAGCAATGTTGCATTCTGCCACACATTTTTCCAATTCTTTCATGTGCATTGTTGGTGCTTCTCCCCTTTCTCTCAATTTCAAATTCTTTCAAACCCTAAAAAAAAATCAATTAAAAAATGTTTTTCAATGAAAATAATTATAATTAAAATAAATACTGAAATTTTTTTATATCTCACCTTATTCCTATTTTCATCCTTCAACTAATCTACTACGATTATTTTAGCTTAAACCAACGTTTTAAAGTTATTTTTTAGAAATTAACTCATTTTAATTTTTAAATGTAAAATTATATGAATTAAAAGGTGATATCAATATCAGCTAATATTTAAAAATCAATTTGAGTATTTAAAATATTATTTCATCTATTTTCTCAAAAATCAATACTTTTATATTTAATTAGCTATTGACTAGAGAAGAACTCAATTGGTTAATGTTTAAAGCAATGATTGAAGATAAATAAGAAATTATATTTTGTACAATTATTTCGAAATTGGCTATTTATGTAGTTAGATGGTCTACTTTTTTATATGCATTTAAAATATAACAGTAATGTAATTATGATATTTGCTAAGTGCCAAACTTATCAAATAAATATGAAAAAAAAAACTGGACATAGTGGTTATAGATATTATAGGTAATTGCCAAAAGAAAAGAGGGAAATATATAATGAAGAAACACATTATAGTTGTTTACTGTTGTTAATTTATATTAAAATCGATTGAAATATAACATACGTTAAACTAATAATATTTTTTTTTATATGAAGTATATTTTAAAATGTTCATGATAAAAAAAGGTAACTATTTGCTCTAAAGGATAAAGAAATTAATCACGCATTTAATTTTTATTATTTTATTATTCGCACACAAATTTAAACCGAACATCTTAGGTAAAAAGATTGGATAATATATTTATATTTTGAATCATATAGCTACGAATTACATCTATAAGAACCTGCTTATTATGAGGTAAAACGTTCCTAATCATTAATCGAATCGAATTTTACTAATCACGTAAACATGTCTATTTCTCCACATAACAAGCACTTTAAAAATCAATTATATATTAAATGATTCATTTTTCTGTCATATAATCAAGAAAAAATATCGTTATGTTTATTTTCTGTCCATAAACAAACGGTTTACACAAAAAAAAAAATCACAATAGAAATATACAGTAAATATTTTACTTAGACATAAGAAAATATTCAACTTATTATAGTTATCAATATTAAAACCCAACGTGACTTTTGAGGTTAATTAAAAGGATTACTTTAATTTAGTTCGTATTATTTATTCAACTTAAGAATGGTGCACCTTAAAAATAGACACGAGCGCTATTTTAATCAAGGTTTAATCCTTTCGAACATTTCTGTTTTTATAGGATAGTCTCAAATAGGTCTTCGTATTGTAAATGTTCTCGATTAGGTCCTTTATTATGAAAAATTGAATTAATTTAGGCCTTACCGTTAATTTCATACTAACACCGTTAAAGGGGGTGACACGTGTCAGTTCGTGGTTTTTTTGAATTTTTTAATTATATTTTTATTATTTTTATTTTTATTTTTTATTTTATTTTTTATTTTTTTAAAAGTAAAATTTAAAAATGCCACGTGTCAAACTGATAGTGTGCCACGTGGCAATGACAGTGTGACATGGCACTGACAGTGCCACATGTCATTGTTAGGCCACGTGTCATTACATTAGTCTCAATTTGGTCCTTGTATTTTTATTATGTAGCAATTTAATCCCTGTATTTTTATTTTGTCTCAATTTAGTTTTAATTTTAAAAATTAAACAATTTTTTTCCTCTCAAATTCAAACAAAATTTAAAACCCAACGTGACTTTTGAGGTTAATTAAAAGGATTACTTTTGATTTAGTTCGTATTATTTATTCAACTTAAGAATGGTGCACCTCAAAAATAGACACGAACGCTATTTTAATCAATAATGTCAAACGGTACAACGATAATTTGTTATTTATTTTTTTTATATAATAGAAATATAAAAGTTAAACTATAACAATTTCCACTAAATTTGATTAAAATTAAAAAAAAAATTAGGGATTTGGTTTATCCCCAATTGATTTATTGATCTAAGTTTGTATGTATAGAAGTCGGCAATGATTATCCCCAATCAGTGTTTTTCCTCTCTCTTTCCTTATTGGTGTTGTCAATTTGCATCCATTTGCTAGCTTAAATCAAACATGCTATTTACAATAAAAATCTATCCTTTAGAAAAATCATTCCAACCCTACCACTTTATTATTCATTATTTTTATTTAATCTTCTAAAATATCAAATCAATTATTGACAACAGGGAACGACAAATACATTTTCAATCTTCAGTGTAGAGTCTTCCACTAAAAAAATGTCACAAATCAATTAAAAAGTAATTTATGAATATGATAAGAAAATTAGACAAGATGTTTATCTATTTGATGTTTTTCATCGTAAAATTTTACAATTTTAAAGTATGATAAATCACCACAAATCTTCCAACTAAACCCACAAAACATTAGCTTTATTTTATTTGATTTTTATACTAAATTAAAACCAAATCAAACTTTCATTTTTATGTTTAATTAGGTAACTATTTGATGAACAATCAGACTAAATCGAGAAACAAAACACTCATACCATGAAAACACAACAAAATCTCTAATCATATAAAAAAATTGTTTTATAACTTTTTTTTTCTATCATAATTTCAGTATTTATGTTTATTTTTATTGATTTCTTATTGAATAAGTTGTTTGGATCGTATATAATTTTTGCAGTATTTGCAGCGAATGCATCTTTATTCAAATGAGAAGATAAGAGGAAAAAACTACCTCATCTTATATATAATTACGATCTAGCCCTCGCATATTGATTTCTGAAATTTTTTATTACCTTAGAGGAGATAATGGATTGGAGAGGGAGAAAAGAGACTCAATATCCAAATCGATTATGTTGAAATATTAAAGACAGCAGAATCGATTCTTCTTATTTTGGAATTGATTGTCTTCTGTCATGAATACCTCGTGGTGTTATTAAATTACTTTGATATATATATATATATATATATATATATACACACACACGTATGCATGAATGAAAGAGAATCGATTATCGTATGTCCTGATCAATTTTTCTCTTTAAGCATAAGATTGAGGTGTCTTCCGTGTGTATAGAATTGAGGACACAAAATTGATTTCTTGTTTTAGGTTTTTACAATAATAATAATTTCTAATATTTACATTTAAACTTATATCACATCTATCCTCAAAGATAAAACCATAATCATGTAATTTTATTCATTAAAATATTCTTTTAACCTAACATAGATATTAAATTATACACAAACTTTCATCTCAAACTCACTTAAATTGTATTATATTTTTCTTAATCTAAATAATTATAATTTTTACCTTTTTTTTCCTCTCAAATCCATTTTTCGAAACTCATCTTCAAATTGAAACACAACTTTAATGATGTGAAGTTCTTCAACTTTATTAATTATGGTTGACTTCAAATGGTTGGATATCACTTGAATAAAATGGGATAATTTATCATTTTGCTGGAATGACTTTTTATTTTTCAAAATTTAACGAATCTGCAGATAGAACATCCATAAATTTAACCAATCTGCACAGAGAACACGGGAGTTACTCCCTCCACCACCACATACCGCTTCCTGCACCTCCACATTCTTTTTTTTGCCCTTAGTTTAAACGGATGTGAATATCCGTTGGTTTCTTAAACGGATGATAATTTTGGTGCACGGATATCAACATTCACGAATATCGCATAGTTTTACAATCCATTAGACAAAAACGCATGTGTCCCCAGCCAGAGCACACAAATATGTTTTAGAAGTAAACACTTTCACAAAACACCTCAAAGAGTTCCTATCTTTCACAGCTGCATGCCATTACTATTTAAGCACAAGGCATCCAAACACTAGGGGATGCAAGTAATGGCTGCTGAAGAGTTGAGAACATCATCCGTTATAGCATCCAAGAAGGAAAATGGAAGATTATCTGCATCCAAAACAGGATAACAAGTAGGATCCTTTTGTATTAAGTCACTCATAACAGTAGCTGCAAGAGAGAAAACTCCACCACTAAAATCTTTTGTCCTTCTAAAAATTATGCATAAGCAATGAGGCAAAACATTCTTTTCAGATCCATAGATACGAGTAGTATTTCCAGGGGCATAAGTTCCCAGGGACTGCTACACTTAGCCAAAATAATTACTAATAGAAACTTACTACAAATGGATATATATCTGGAGGACTTTACCGGTATGTCGTAGGAGAAGCCCGCGATGAGGGAGTTCTCGACGGAGATGGGCGTCAGCTCGATCGTTCCGATATGACCGGAAAAAATTTGAGTAAAGGTGCCAAGGGAGTACTTTGACACGAAGGAGAAACCAGTTATATTATTGAACAGTGTTTGGCATGGGTTATAAGTTTCTTAAGTATGTGTGAATCCTTTATATGAAAGGTGTGACGTTGAGGTAAGCTTGTATTTATTTTCATGGGTTGAGGAAGATGTCTTACGTAACTGTTGTAGTATTATATTATTCTCTTTGTTATTTTTGTTGTGGCGAATTCGTTTTCTCTTCCTAGCATGGAAGAGGTGAGAAGAGCAGAGATGTTCCCTTGGGGATATAATGAAGGTTGGGTGAAGATTTAGAAGGATAGCAGGGGGTAAACAGGGTAGTCACGGGTTGCATGAAGGAAGGAGAAATGGGTTGGGGACGTTGGTATGTGAACAAGTGTCATACTCGTGTTTTGGGCTTGGGAGAACCTGTTGGTTTGATGCTTGATGTAGTTCCGTTGGTGATGGAGAAGGAGAGGTAAGGTTATGGTTACTGGAATGAGAAATAAAAGTTTAGACTAAGGGTGAGAGAGAAAGAAAGAGATTGCTAAAATAGTGGGGAGGGGAGGTGTATAGGATAACAATGTTAAAGATAGTGGGGAAGTGTA